ACCTCCTCCATGTACAGGTTGGCAACAATAGGAGAAACTGGAGACCCCATAGCACACCCATGTTTCTGCCTATAATATTGCTCCCCATATGTGAAGTAGGTTGACTGCAGGCACAGTTTCAAGACATGACACAGTTGTTCTGTAGAAAGTGTGGTCCTGCTGCTCAGAGTGGTGTCTGATTTTAATTTTAAACTGACCACCTCTACTGCATCATCAACAGGAATGCACGTAAAGAGTGATGTGACATCAAAAGAGACCATTGTTTCATCAGTCTCCATGATGACATCCCTCACCTTATCCACAAAGTCCATGGTGTTCTGTATGTGGTGTTCTGAGCTGCCAACTAAAGGGATGAGTACAGACGCCAGATATTTGGAAACATTGTAAGTGACAGAGTTAATCATGCTAACAATTGGTCTTAAAGGTACACCTTGTTTGTGGATTTTAGGTAAACCATACAGACTAGGTGTAGCCTCCCCTGGGTACAGTCTGTGGTACAGAAAACGGTCAATAGCCTTGTCCTGCTCCAAAATTTTCAGGCAATCTATCAATTTCTTCTTGTAACCACTTCCTGGATCTCTTTTCAGAGGTTTATAAGTGGTTAAGTCACTAAGGAGTGTCATAACTTTCTCATGATAGTCTTTCTGGTTCAAAATCACTGTGCACCTTCCTTTGTCTGCTGGGAGAATTATGATGTTTTTGTCCTTGCTAAGAGTGGTGAGTGCATCCCTCTCCTCTCTACTGATGTTGGAAGGTGGTAGTTTGGCATTGCTGAGGCAGGCTGAAAACTTTGATTCTGAGCTGTTCTGCTTCACCCTCTTTAATTTTGTTGTTGCGGATGGCTGATTCTGTAGCTGTGATCATCTCCACCAGATGAATTCTACTTGGTGCAACCGCAAAGTTCAGTCCCCTGGCAAGAATCTCTGTCTCTGGCTGGGTGAGCTGTCTGTCAGATAAATACTTCACCCACTTTTCTGTCTCCCTGACATGTAATTGACTACTGGAGTGTTGTCCTACACTGAATGTGTTGTTATTGGAATAGTGATGGTGTTGATGAGCTATTAGTACGTTTAACTTGTTTTGTTGTCAAGTCTGTTTCTGTTTAATGTGCTCTTCTTTGGCCTTCAAGGCCTCAATAGTAAAATTGGTCTGTCTCACCCGTTCATTCAGCAGCTGGGTCTGTGCCTTCTGAAGGATCTTGCTTGCCCGGTGCCCGCTGACCGAAGATTTTAGTTCCAGGCTCTTGGGAATGATGCCACTTTGTCGACATCTGAGGTTGAATCGCAAATGGTTCCTGTAGTCTGCCCTCTTCCTTGCTGTTTTCTCAAACTCTCTTACTAGTTTGAAGCAATCCTGGCCAAAGTGGTTCAAAATATCCTGATGCATGCTCAATAATCCAGGTAGAAAAATCTAAAAAAGTTCAATCTGGTCCTCTGGACATTCAAAACAACAAAGCAAAACAACAAAAAAATGTAGAAACGTTTCGTCTCTCATCCGAGAGACTTCCTCAGTCTGAGGAGCTGTATTCAGCTCAGTCTCTTAAATACACAAAAACATTGTACAAAGGAGGTCAATCTTATTTTATAAATACTTCCTATATTCTCCCTATTTTTTTATATCCTAGAACTTAAAACTCCAGTTTTGATGCATATCTCTTGATAATGAACCAAAGCTGCTGAAACAGTGAGTATGCTTGTTAGAAAAATATTCCTGTCATCAGATCTCAGTCAGCTTCATTGCAGCTGAACACCGTGTTACACTGAACATCACATCAGCTGGTGGACATAAATACAGTACAGTAATATTATTTTCACAAAATACTAACAATAATATGTTGTTCTTACTTGTGAAAAGTTATCCCACGAGACCTGGCGTCAACAGTCCATCGATTAAAACAGAAATAAGCTGCGAGGTGCTGAGACATCTTCTGCTTTAACCTAATGTAGCAGCATAAATGGTGTGCTGTCACTTTAACATGGTCAATTGCGGCTTCTGTATAAAAGCACGTCACTCCCGTCTGGGTACACGGCGTTTGTCACGACGTCTGCTTGCTTCAGCTGCAGATAACATTCTCCGGTAAGCGTGGCTAATGTTTTTCTTTGAGCAGTAGTTTGCCTTTAGCTGCTAATAAACTAGTTTGTTTTCTTAACGTTCAGTCTAGCCTCTTCTCTGCTGTGCCTCCTGGGTATAAGACCGGTCTGTCTGTTGTGTGCCCAATTTATGTCTTGAAGGTAAGGGTTAGCCTAGCCTGCTACCGCTTACCTGTTACTGTGAACAAATGTTTATTAGACTGTTCTGTTGCAGCTGCATGATCCAATTTATACAGCAACTCTATAAGATTGTGCTGTAACATACAAATTTGCAGGTAGGCAATATGAGATTCTGTAAATTCTGCTGTCAATGGTTGAGTTTAATAGTGACGATCTGCTCCATTTTTTTAGTTTTCAGATGAGCCTTCTCCTGCTGTTCAGCTGGATTCTGCTCGCTGCTGTTTTGCCTAGAGGAAAAAATATGAAATTAACTCGGGCCCTTGCCCTACTGGCTGAGGCTTTGATTTTAATGAACTGAGTGCACCACTTAATCTGTTTTTATGAAATATTGTGACGCGGCTGTTTCATTAAGGCTGTTTGTTCATTTTTATTTTTCAGGGACTGAGACTTCGTGTGGTGGAGGTGGTGACCCCTGGTGGCGGTGTCTCGCTTTGTGTGTGGAACACTCCTTTTCTCTTTTGTAGTTTAGGTGATTCCTCTTTCTTCACTGGATGTGGTCTCCTTGTCTTTACAGCCCCCCTCCCCACTAGTAAGCCTCAGTCTCACCTGATATTTTAGTGTTTTTTTTTTTAACTCCAGCACAGCTGTATTAAACAATTAAATGCAGTCAACAATTTTCTGGTATTGCATGTTTTAAAATACATTTTGAATACTTTTAACTTGTGCAAATTACAACCCCAATAAATTTGGTAAAGTTTATTTGAATCTTGTCTCCTTCCTCCAGTAGAACAAACTTACGTGTCCTTTTATTTCCTGG